ATTAAAAGGGCCACGTGTGCTTTAGATATTAATAAATTAACCCAAATCGAAACAACAGATGGGGAGCCAAAAGCAGCAGAAATAAACGGATTTTGAAATAGCTACATAAAAATCTGAAATGTGTGTTCTGAGATGGTTTGTTTTAAGATTTGCTACAGCCAAAAGCATCTCTTTGAGTTTCATTAATATTTCAGTTTTTACAAGTTAAGCTGTATCATAGAACAATATTATTTTGTTTTATTTGTGCTGTCGTATTTTGCACTTTTATGTTTTTATGCATATTGTAGAACAGTTTTGAAGAGAGCACTGTGCTGTGACCAGAAGGGAAAACCAACAAATATAAGTAATATAATAGTTACGATACCATATAAACTAATTTTCCACTTGTAAACAATATGAAAAGGTTCAAATTAATAAACACACTAATCGCAAAGCCCACAGAACAACATGTATTAAGTATTGACAGTTTTTAATTTTTTTTTTTTCGCTCAGAATCATTGGTCTCATATGTAGGTCAATGGCAAACCATGGCTACAGAACCATTAGCGATGAGCAAGGGTATCAAACTTTACCCTTTTAATATAGGTTAATGTAGCAATTAGCATATTAATTATCATAGGCTGAAGGCAAAAATAATATTCAGTTTTTTCTCTTAGTGCTGGACAGAGAGACAAATTGGCAGTCAGGTTTATCTGGACACAGCCACTCTCAATTCTAGACTTATTCTGTAAAATTGACTCCCGTGAGCTTTATGGCATGTTATAATGCTGTTACCGGCTCAAAAACTTACATGGAGTTGTGTTTTGTTTCATTCACGCATGTTTCAGTAGCTATTTTATTATTATTATTGATATCACAACATGGAACAGAGTGTTTTCAGTTTCAGAGAAAAGCCTGAGCCTAAATATGCATGTTAAATGTGTGAATGAAACAAAACACAGCTATGTATTTTTTTGACAAGAAAACATAGATTATTAGCCACCTAGTGCCTCCGCTCAATTTCATTTCTCTCCAGCAACTAGATCAGGAATTGGAATACACTAGACAGTTTGCAAGAACCCCAGAAGTTGTAGACCGCGCAGTGGCCAATCAGTGAAGAGCTGTGAAGCCAAGACGTCAAATTCAAGTGCCTGTCTGGGCCCTTTTGTGGTACAGCACAACAGTAAACAAAGCGGTCGAGATGGATGTAGATACATTCTATTTTGGCAACTATTCCCAAGATCAAGGATTTGAGGCTGGAACAAAGAGAATGTTTGGTGAAATTTATCAAGGGGAAAGATGTTATTGCTCTTTTTCCTATAGGATTTGGCACATTACATATGTCATGACCAAACAGCAGCAATCGATTAAATACAAAAGTACCTGCCTACCATCGAGTGAATGAATCCTAATGCTGCGAGGTCAGACGGTTTCCACGAAGTGAAACTGGCTGATGAATCAGGCTAATAGATTATACCATAAATCAGAAAATAAATGTAATATGGGCCCTTTAATTAAATTGAACTGTGGGATACTCCTAATTCTCATTCATTTAAACAACCTTCTTTTCAAATGTATTCACTGTTTGTCGATGGGTCTTGTGGTCTATTGTCTATTTGCCCCAGTGGTCTCTATTAGAACAAGGCGGGGCATCTCAGCTGTCAATCACCACAACCATGATTGATGTGCTGTGGTGTGGAGGTTGGGCATTAAAATTCCACCCCTTCTATTTTTATGATTATTTGGGAATATCTGTCACAGGGAAATGACAAACAAAGGCTACGTCCAGAAAACGTGCCTAATTATCAAAAGAAATTATGCACAAAAATATGTCAGGTTTACCATAAATGCCCCGAAGCCTTAAATTTGCCAGCCCCTTGGCAATATCCAGCCTGGAATTAATAACTTCCTATTCTTTATAATTGAATATTAGCCATTTTAGCCTGACCTTTCATTAGAGTATACACTGGTGTTGTGAGCGGGCCAGTGTAATAAGATGGTGCACCAGTATCACCATGGGATTTCTATGGAACCCAGCCAGAGCGGAGTCACACAGCTTTCTGACCTTGCTCTCTCCCTCTTTTTGTGTTCTGTTGGTAGGAGAGTCAAGCTGGCCTCACTCATTTCCACACCCAAAAAACCCTTTGTTTTGAGCAGATAGTGCTCATGAACCACTGGTTGAATAAAACCAGCTGTAAGTAGGTTAACCTTGTTGGTGTTTTAAAAAGGAGGAATAATAAAATGAAAGGGGAGTTGGTGCCAGGATTTCTTTTTTTCTCCTTTTTACAAGCTAAGGATCATGAACATAACAATGAAAAATTAACTGTATATATTTTTTCATAACAGATGTGTAATTGAAGTGAATGTCTATGGGGATTCTGTAAAATATGGGCCATTTAAAATTCTGTTTGGTTTGTATGAGATCCTTTCCTATAAGGCTGCACTGAGGCTGCCTTCCTGGGTTTTGGCATTGAAGGATGGGTCAAATGAAAAGGACACTAATTTTGAGCATACAAAAACAGCTTAATTATTATATTATCATTATTGCAAAACAACATCAATGCCTTTGGAGAGATCAGTAATTCATTTCATTACTATACATCATCATCATCTTTATTCTGGATTCATGGTCCATTTTTAAAACAGAAAAGGACAGTGACATTACAAACAACAAACATTTATGTTTTTAAGACAACCATTCTAGTGTCTCCACATATTGGACTCATATCTTATTGCACTGAATCTCTTATTTCTGAGTGAAATTATTACTTCATTGTCCGATTTGTTCAGTCTGCAGACAAAACTGTACATTAAAATTCAAAGTGTTCACTCGCGCAGTAACAAACATCTCAGCTGCACTGGTCCATCGTGGCCTCCTCAAAAGCTCCGTAAAGCGTCATTGTAAGCCACCTGCAGTCTTTGCAAACTGGCTTTTTTATAATTAGTCCAGAGGAGGGCTGTGTACAACGGTGTACAATATCATTTAAACAATAGCAACTTTACATCCTTTGTACAAGATCCAGACTTACGCATAAGAGTATTCGCCTGAGCTCAGAGCATCCTACATCCTCTGTGAAATGTTATAATGTTGATTTTCCCTGGAATTTCTCCCCTTAGCTGGGATCAAAAGTTGCCCCACATCTAAAGAAACCACCAGTGCCACCAGGACATATCTGACTCTTCTCCAATATTGATTTATTTGTCATTTTACCCACAATTCAACAGGTCTATGGTATTTGAAACTAATTTCGGCAATCAAAATGAAATATAATCCATTAGAGCTATTCTGTATTGAGACCGTGCCCTCTTTGGACACTGGTATTCTGTCACTATCTCCTATATGGTTGTGCGTCATTGACTGGACAGGAGAAAATCAAAATGCTAATGTCATATTGTAGAGTGAACTAAATGTCATTCCATTTTTTCCCCCAATATCGGCGAGAGATATGAGATTGATGTCCACAGAAGGCAGGTTATACCAACAGCTGTGATATTTGAGCTCTCAAATAAACCTTTATTATATATTCACCCACTTTTATAAGCAAAAGCAACTGTCATGTGTCCTTTAGAGGAGATTATCCTGAAAATACCAAGCAGTCTGTCTTTGGGTTTATCTTGCACAAAAGCTAATGATAAGACGTGCTGCACAGGAGACAGCTGGTATTGTTTTCAAATATTGATAGGGATCTTTAGTTATGAATATCTCCAGCACTTCAGTGATATAGAGAAGTGAGAACCACTACTGCACCTTTTTCAAAACGCCAGCTTTAATCCAGCCGGCAGAAAATGACCACTTTACAAGCACATTTAATCGATCCGAGTCATAAGCCCGTAGCCTCTATTCATTCATTCACATGTGTTCGGAGCAAGAGGAGCGGTAGCATAGGAGCAGCACGTTTCTCCCTGCCTGTGCCTCTGATGCTGCGCGTACATCAGTAAATGAATCACGTAGCACTAGAACAGCCCTTCTTCATGCGATCTTAGCCCAGACCTATTGGATGGTAACACACATCCACACGCGCAAAACCAAGCCTCCAGGCAAGATCTGTCACCGCTCACTCATTTGCTTTGGGAGAAACTATGTTGAATGCGGAGAGGAATAGCAACGCGAGCTTTGGGAGGAAGGCGTCGAGAGGATTCCAGTCACTGCACTAAAGAAGCGAGAGCGAGGGGGCTCAACAGTTGACGCTGGGAAGTGACTGCGCGCGGGCAGCCAGCAGAAAAGCCATTAATTTTGATTATCTGAAATCTTACAGCGGGTTTTTTCCTCTTTTGTTGCTATTTTTCCCAGACAAGAAACGAGAGGAAAGTGTCCGGATGAAGGATGGAACAGCACCGGGTCCAATTGCACTGGATTATGGGATTACTGGACTGATTATAGGACAATCATCGGGCAAAAGTCGCAGCCGTGAGATAGACGCGTTTGAATGACGGCGACACAAAGCTCGTACTGGAGGGAGAGCGCTTCTTTTTGTGATTCTTAGCCCACTTTGTGCGTGAGATGATGGGGAAGAGGCAGCAGGGGCAGAGTGCTAAGGATGCAACAGTGTGCCGCACAGGGGTAAAAGTAAATGCATTGTGAATCGTAACATCGGAGAATGGTGCATGCTGCCTGTGTATAGCCTAGGTGTAGATGTCGCATGAGGGCAATGCGCTTTTGTGAGCCCCGCGCTAACCTTCAGCCGAGAGAGATCCAAACGCTTTAACCTTGGACGCAGTGGGGAATATTAATACTTTATAGTCATCGATTATTCATTAGCGCCCTTCAGGAAAAATAAAAACACAAAGCCGCTTCTTTGCACAATGTTGGAATTTGATGTTTAATTCATGCGTAAGGTGTCGTCTGCCGGTCAGCTTTGTTTACAGAAATGATTAGTAAAGGGAAAGAATAGCACTTATAGAATTGATGCGTAATTAGAGAGCGGGCTGCTGCAGAGCACATGTCTGCGTAGGGTTTCAACAGGTTGAAAGTCAACGAGGATTTTTTTCTTCTTTCCTCCTGTCTGCTGCCAACAGAAGGGATGCGTCTCTGTGTCACTGTTTTCCTCTTGTTGTGGGTACAAGCCCTGACATTGAAAAATCTTAATTACTCCGTCCCTGAGGAGCAAGGACCGGGCACAGTGATAGGGAACATAGCAAAAGACGCTGGATACGGGACTGTGGAGAGAGGTAAAAAATTCCGTGTACTCGAGAATTCCGCGCCACATCTCGTGGACGTTGACCCGGAGAGTGGACTTATCTTTACCAAACAAAGGATTGACAGGGAGACGTTGTGCAGGCGCAACCCCAAGTGCCAGCTCTCTATGGAAGTATTTGCCAACGACAAAGAGATTTGCATGATCAAGATTGATATACAAGACATCAACGACAACTCACCCACTTTCCCCGCGGATCACGTTAATATTGACATTTCTGAGAACGCGGCAGCGGGGACGCGTTTCCCCCTCACTATCGCGCATGACTTGGATTCAGGGGAGAACGGCATCAAGACATATCAGGTCACAAGAGACGATTACAATACGTTTTCTTTGGATTTAAAAGTCAGGGGTGATGGGACTATTTACCCGGAGCTGGTTGTTCAGAGACCCCTGGACAGAGAGGATCAGAGCCATCACACCCTGCTGCTCACTGCCATAGACGGAGGGGAGTATCCAAGATCAGGCTCCATGCAAATTAACGTGAGAGTGACTGACTCCAATGACAATAGCCCTATTTTTGACAAATCCTCTTATGTCATAGAAATCCCTGAAAACTCTCCTCCAGGCAAAGTGCTCATAGATCTCAACGCCACTGACCAGGACGAGGGCAGCAACGGGCAGGTGGTGTACTCCTTCACTGGATATGCATCTGACAGAATACAAGATCTGTTCTCCATTGACCCCAATTCTGGCGTCATCAAAGTCCAAGGAGAGATAGACTATGAAGAGAATCCAATTATAGAGTTTGACGTGCAGGCCAAAGATATGGGCCCCAACCCAATACCGGGTCACTGCAAAATTACTGTCAAAGTGCTGGACAAAAATGACAACACACCAATAATAAGTTTTGTCTCCGTTCGGCAGGGTGCAATAAGCGAGGCAGCTCCCCCAGAATCTGTCATCGCACTGGTCCGGGTGACAGATAAAGACGCAGGCAGGAACGGTCAGCTCCAATGCAGGGTGATTGGTAATGTCCCGTTCAGACTTCAGGAGAACAATGATAACTTCTACACGCTGCTAACAGACAGGCCCCTGGACCGAGAAATGAAAGATGAATATAATGTGACTATTGTAGCAAGAGACAATGGGATCCCTTCTTTGAACTACACTAAGTCCTTTACTGTGAAAATCCTGGATGAAAATGACAATGCTCCCCGCTTCACAAAGACAGTCTATGTTCTACAGGTGCCGGAGAACAATATCCCAGGGGAATATTTGGGATCAGTCTTAGCCCACGACCCGGATGTAGGTCGGAATGGAACTGTGTCCTACTCCATTTTGCCTTCGCATATAGGAGATGTCTCAGTTTATACTTATGTGTCTGTCAATCCCACCAATGGAGCTATATATGCCTCACGGTCCTTTAACTATGAGCAGACTAAATCTTTCGAATTCAAAGTTCAAGCGAAAGATGGCGGGTCTCCTCATATGGAAAGCACCTCTATAGTCAGGGTCAACATACTCGACGTGAATGACAATCTGCCTGTTATTATTCTTCCCCTACTTCAAAATGACACCGCCGAAATCCCTGTGCCGAGAAACGTAGGTATAGGATATATTGTTGCCACGGTGAAAGCAGTTGACCACGATCACGGGGAGAGTGGCCATTTGACCTATGAGATTACAGAGGGAAACGATGACCACCTGTTTGAAATGGATCCAGTGGGAGGAGAGGTCAGAACAGCTCACGCGCTTTGGGAGGAGGTGACGCCTGTAGTGGAGTTGGTGGTGAAGGTAACTGACCATGGCAAGCCCCCCTTATCGGCCGTGGCTAAGCTCATCATTAGGGCCAACATGGAGGCGGCGGCGGGAGGGGGGTCCAGCACCAGTGGAGAACCGCAGCACTGGGACGTATCTCTGCCCCTCATAGTTACCCTCTGCATTATCTCTGTCATGCTCTTAGCCGTCATGGCCGCCATTGCTGTCAAGTCCAAGCATCAAGATAAGGAGACTGGGAATTATAACTGCCGCATGGCTGAGTACTCCAATGCCCCAGTGGGGAAGGGCAAGAAGAAAAGGATCAACAAGAGTGACATCATGCTGGTGCAGAGCGAGATGGAGGAGAGAGATTCGGCCAGTCGCATGAACGTGGTGAGCAGCCCCTCTCTCATCACCTCGCCCATTTGTTTCGACTACCAGAGCCCGCTGCCCCTGACCCTCCCCAGGTCAGAGGTCATGTACCTGAAGACCACCCCCAACAGCCTCACAGTGCCCCGGGCCGGCTGCCACTCCAGCTTTGGCGGACTCAGCGCAGACCCTACAGCCAATAGGATGTCAGTGATACAGGTAAGGGTGCCACAACTGTACTCTTTATCTGCCCTTTTATTCTGCCTTATCTTCTCACGCTGCTTTGCAATACAAATCTGACAAAGAGAAAGTAATCGTCTGAAAGGGAGAACTCTGTCATAGCAGACATCATCATTATTACTTTTCTTCTTGGCCACCTTATCACTGACTAATATCGCTCTCATAGGAAGCACAATATGTTAGTGTCACAGGGGTTTTGATGGCATAAACAGCATTTTACCAAAGACCGATGCTCTCTCGTCCACACCAGCAACAGCAAGTCCAAATCATTTCAGTCCAGGCTTCATTGTAAGTCTCCTCTTGCAAAATGGTACAGGTGGTCTGCATAATCAGAAAGTCCTCGCAGTTAGACATGCAAACAGTGTGAGTCTTGAACAAGGCTGCTGTGACCCTGCCAGACTCCGGAGCTATAGAGTGAAAACAAAACTGGGCCTTGAAATGTGGGATTGGACAGGTGTTTGAGCAGCTTGTCCGATCACATTACCAAACCAGTGTGCACCACAAAGCAGGAGCGCACACAGCATAACCTTACAATCGCATTTCTCGCACTGCACAAATATGGGCCATAGCCATGCAGCCACATCCAGAGTTGGCACCACCAGACCATTACCGGTGTCCAGCCTCGCCTTGCGGTGATGGCGATGGCGGGTGGGTGCACGCAAGCCAGCAAACATGCTAATTTGACAGCATGGGCCCGGCGTAACGTTTAGCCCGACAGAATTAGCAGTTGTAAAAATCTAGGACAGTCTCGGAGACAGTCTCATTTGGAGATGATAAGGCAGATGACAGGGCCTGGCACTGTCACCAGTCACTGGGGTATGTGGGTGTGATCAACACAAACACATTATTCTCCAGATAGGGGGAAAAACTGAAGCCGATGACAGTAGCTAATGCTGCGCCCTTTCCCCTGCCAACAAGCCGCATATGGCAACATATGGGATTTATGTCAATAATGTAATAGATTTGGATCTCTTCTTTAAATAAATATGTAAAAATAGACACACGCTGTTCATATTTGAGAATGATCACATGACAAGATGTTTACCTTTTTCACAACAAACTAGCTGTATGCACCAATATTCAAATAAATAAATGTTAAATAATATATACAGTATTGTGCTCTTATAAAAGTACCTTGTATGTCAAATATAGACTGCACAGTATTGTAAAAATGCACTTGAAATATGCGGAAAATGTCAGTATTTAAGCAGAATAAAAGTTTGGACACACTACTCAGAAGCTGGACTTAATCAAAACTTGAGACTTAATTATGTCTTATGCTTGAAGTACATATTTGAGCTGATCACTTTACCATATTCTTCTCTTCTCGTTTCAAGACTGAAAATTTCTCCTCTGAGTCCAATTACGCAGGCAGCCGGCAACCATTCGTTCAAAGGTAAGCACCACTTGACCACTGAATTTGGATGTCTGTGTTCTCTTTGTCTCTGACTGCCTCTCACTCTCAGTTAATGGTAACTTATGCGCATGTTTGTCTTTCTCCCGTTTTCCACTGCAGCTCCACATTTAAGGATGCAGAGCGAGCCAGCCTGCGAGACAGTGGCCATGGTGATAGTGACCAAGCTGATAGTGACCAGGATACTAATAAAGGCTCACAGTGCGACACGTCTGCCAGGGAGGCCCTCAAGATGAAAGCACCAGCGGTTAATGGGCAGCCTTTTGAGCAGGGTGAGTGGACGCGCTCTCTTCCTGACATGTTGAAGATGACTCCAGCCCGGACAGCCCTTTTGTTTTCTCTTTATGCATCTTAGACCCACAGGTGGTCAGAGCAAAGTCATAGAAACCTCTGATCGCTTCCAATGAGAAACTATAGTGTGACATTTTTGGGCAATGTTGAGTTTTGTTTATTGAGTGAAAACACATGATGAGCTCTGTCCACAGTCAAAATATCACAAAATCATTTTGAATCATTTTAGTTATATTGATTAAAAACAAACAGCTGTGTTTGAACAAAGGATTGTGCAGGGCAAAAGTACTGCAGACTTCTATTGAGAAATGCCTTCAAAAGTTAAAACAAAGGAAGAGTATGTGACTTGCTTCAAAAAGAGTTCATATCCAACTTTATTTCTTCAGCTACATGTTGCTCAAAAATAGCTTGAGAAAAAAGCAATTCTTATTCATTCTAGCTGTAAGTGGGGTCTCCTCGCCACAGATCTAAACTGTAAATTGACCTGTTGGCCTCACTTACTTCTCTTCTTGGAAACATGGAGACAGATATATTAAAATCCTTACTGTGGAACATTCCAGGCAAAGCAATAATATCTCCAGGCCCTCACCAGAAAACTACTATGACTACTAGTGTTATTTAGAGCACCATTAAAGAAAGATCAAAAGTGTTGACTTTTCTGGGTCCTAAAAATGTCCCGTACACCTTCAGATAACCACAGATCTGTCCATGCAAATACAATGCGTGGGGGAGTCTGTTCAATGGTAATAACAAGAGCTCATACATCATTTATGAGCTCCCACAACATATAAATAGAGTCTATAGTGGTTGGAAAACTACTCTGTGGTAAATAGTTATCTGGCTATTGTAGTAACAGTACGCCAGTTTTTCCAGTGGCAATGTTTGTGGACAGATTTTATCATTCATTTCGTGACCCACTTTTTAACAAAAACATTATCTTTACATTTTCAATCCATCAAGTTGCCAGAACATTTAAGGGTATCTTGACATAAAAACACATGCAAAATCAGTATGTAATTCAAGCTCGAAAGTGACAGTGACAATCCCAGAAGAGATGGGAAAAAAAAAAAAAAAGATTTAGCTGTGACTTTTTCATACATGTATTTTCTGCTTCACCATTTCAATCATTTACAATCATCAAACAATCTTTATGCTTCAAAAGACTGAAAATTTAAACTATATCCAACCTCTTCATGACCCACTTTGGAGTCCTTGGGGTCTGAAACTGAAAATCCCGTGTAGTCTGCTTAGCTCCTGGATCTGTCAGGGTTTATTGTGATATTTTTATCACAGGACCAAATGACAGGGCTTTATTTATTTGGGGACATGAGATGATGAAATCAAAATCATATTGGTAGCAATCTTAATGCATGATTTATTTGTTGTTCTTGAAAACAGCTGGCCGCTCCGTCTTACACTGTGCTCTTTAATCTGGTCACATGAGAGGATTGCATGTTGTGTGTTGTTCAAATTTGCAGTGATCCATACCAGTGTTAAGGGTAACCCCACCTTTTCATGGGGTATTGGCACTGATGTTTAGTGGACCATGATGACAGGAAAGCCACGCCCCTGTCTTTTTAACCCCATCCCAAACGCTTGCTTTCTAAAGGTCAAGGCCTTATCCTTGAAATCAACATATTTCTGCTTGGTCAACTCAGACTGTCAGATGCTGAGCACTAAAACAGCTGTCTTTCACATCAAATGTCATATTCCATTATAAAGACTGTTCAACCGCACTGCATTCTTCAGTAATACATCATACATACAGACCACTATACATTCATACTTTTATTCATTCACTTATAGATAGATAATTCTGACTATTGTATTACTGTAATTATATGAATGGGAGATGACTAAACTGCTTCTTAACATACTAATGGTGCGTATAAGTGTGTTGATGATAGGCCAGTATGGAAAGAGAGATAACGATATTTGGCTAATCTTCCTTATAATAATTTTGCTATTAATATTACTTTTTGGCTTTATTAGGCCAGACAAGAAACAGTGGATGAGAGCTAAACACACTGCACATACACACGTACGGCTGTGCAATTAATTGAATTTTGATCGCAATTTCGATTTGTGTGTCAAACGATCTCTCATATAATCAAGTTGAAACGATTAAACTTAAATATAGAGGTTGTAGAACAGCTCGATTTGTTTATTTTGGATGCATTTATGTTTTTCTATGCCTTATTTCATGTTCAAAGTATATTTTGTTCATTTTATGTTTTATACATCGCAAAATTGCTCTTAAGTACATATTCGTAGCCTATATTTATTTTCAGTTTGAATGTTTTGCGTAAATTATCAATAACAAAGTGGTGTTTTGAGAGAGAAATGTTGAATAAATGCATCATGTAATAATCGTGATTTCAATATTGACCAAAATAATCGTGATAATGATTTTTTTTACATAACTGAGCAGCCCTACACACACACATACACATACATTGTCATCTTTAAAATATTCTTAAAAGTATGTTATGGGTATTCATAGTATTAAAAGTTTGAACAATACTTTCTTGTCATGGAAGTCGAGGTTTCTGGAAGACAATAGCCTATATGGGAAAAGTATTTGTCAGAACTGAGACTAGAAATCAAAACTTAGAGGTGGGCGATATATGGTCTAGTGTACTGGGTGAAATGAAAATTGCTGTTTTGAAAGAATGCAAAACTGTACGATTGTGAGGAAAACAGTTGAAAAGCTGCAAAAACAGTCGACAAAAACTAAAATCCAAACTTTGTGTGTCTATATTTATAGTTGGAAATGAACCAAAACAGCAGGTATATTTGAGCACATTTCTGATGGATTGCATATATTTATTTCGACTATTTCTGCCAACTACTTCTTTGGCGTGTTTTCTGTTTTCTGGGGCTAAGGCCAGACTATATATACACTCATAATCACAATATGTATAATATCGATGTATAAGCGCATTTTCTTCATAAAGACTGCTCTTACTCTGGCCCTCTCCACAGCGCTCCCATCAAAGCAACCTTGAGCCTATCATTAAGAGTTAGCCTTGCCTATTCTCAAATCATAAACTTGGGTCTAGACATTAGCGATTACGCACCGCACCTTGTAATACTATTTGCTTCGACATTAGCGCGAGTCACAGCTGTGTTCCAATGGGCCACATGAAGGACTTGGTTGTGCAATAGCGAGATAGTCGTCAAGGAGGATAAAAGGGGCCATTGGCTTAAGGTAGAATCTTCAAACATCTCGTGTCTGATTTAAGCATCAAAAGGCCCCCCTCATATGCATGCCAAAGTGTGCCTCCATCTGCCCGCCTTTTGATCATGTCTTTATTTGAACACCCCTTTTCACCGTTACACTAAGACGGCTACGGCGAGACAAGGAAAAGCATGGCAGCCCCTTTGCGCAATGACAGGTATTTCTGGCGAGATACATGACACCAGATTTCCAAACGTTTTGCCGGCGGTTGAAAATAGACAGCTTCGTTTTTTATTAATCACGGGATAGCTGTCAGTCAGACGCAAGACGCTAGCTGACCTGGCAGAGGCCTGTTATATTTAGCCTGCCTAGATATATAAAAAAAATAAATAAAAAAACGCTCTTGAAAGCATCTCTCGCAGGTATGATAAAAGATAATGGCGGGACTTGAGTGTGGAGTGGAGATGTCTTTCATTTCGGCGTGCGAGAATAGCTGTGGTCATCCAATCCCAGCGCGCTACTTTCCACACCATTTACATTGCTATGAAGTGTTTGTTTGCGGCTTGCTCTTGGGGAGGGCAAGAGATGGGAACACTCTTGCAGCTTGCCAGAGAGGATGTGCGAATAGCGTGTGTCTGTGCCGCTAGGAATTATGGCAGACCAAACTTGACTCTGTAGGAGGTGTAAATTCAATCACTTCTTTTTTTTTTCTCCACTGCCGGCCAAACACTTTCAGAATGCAGTCTGAGTCTTTAAACGCCAATCACAGGGATAGATATTGAAAGCGATGTCTTGTAGCATGCAACAGTGAGCATCCGCGTGGACGAATGGCGCGAGTGAGAGAAGGAATGCAAGTTAATTTATAAACCTGCATTGGTAAGATAAGAAGAATGCAAAAACGACGTAGTGAGGCGTTGCGTTTAATATTAATGGGATGTGGTAACGCGTTGCTGTTTATTACATATGGAAAAGGTAGTTAAAAATAAGTCAGATTGTGTTGTATATGAAAGGGTGACAGTAATGTTGAAATCTACATTATGCGCTGATGAGACAACCTTGCATCCCACGCAATCCTTCTGTTCGCGCGCAGATTATGAAAATGGATTTAAAGCGCACATTTTTAGATCTGTGTTTAAGCTTTTTTGGATGAAGTTCCTCTGCTTTTATGTGTTTTACCTCACACTTCCTTCTACTCTGTTGGCTGCTTTGATACAGGTAATGTATGCACCTGTGCAGCTTCCTCCATCACGCACATGGAATATTTATTTATTCTTTCAGACAACAGATGCACACACTGGGTTATGTTGCTAGGCTTTCTCCCTCTTTCAGTCTATTTATAATGGGCAAGCTCACTTTGTATCCGCCAGCCCCATAAGATCACAGCCATTATGTCAGATTGTCATGCTTCTTTCATGCTAATATGTAAATGTTTAGTTTAAGAGCTATTATTCCTCAGTATTAAGTGGTGGAAATTGAAAATGGAAATGCAAAGCTAATGGCATTGACAATAACAGAAAGCTCTCATGCGTCTCTCCACTCCTACAGCTTTTGTTTTTATAATACTGTTTACTACAAAGCACCTATGAGGAAAGCTTAACAAAATTCTACGCAGGAAATCTTTCTTTAACACAATATATGATTACTGGGCTGTGTCAGACACCCACTAAGGTAGCATACATGTTGTTACTTGCAATCGTGGAAAATTGCTCTTATGTAAGCCCATAGCCACAATGTTTAAATTACCCAGTGACACAGAATGGCAACAAAGGCAAAAATACCAAGTGTGTTTTCGCCAGACCT